AATATAGTAATAATATATACACAATGACCTGGGGATATGTGATAGGGAGGTCAAAGAAAGGTTTGTCTGTGAATGAGAGTCCATTTATATGGCATTGTGTGTCTTTCCTATGGGTAAATGAATTGAGAGTTGCTCTGCCCGCATTCCTTTGGGCAATAAAACCAGTGTTATCAATTCAATTCAAGTTTATTTGTATAGTGCTTTTTACGACGTAAATTGTTGCAAAGCAGCTTTACAGAAAATTAAAGTTTATACATTATATTTAGTAATAGCTTATCAGTGGTGACTATCTCAAGTTGATGTCCATATGGCAGAAATGTACGGTAAAAATCAAGCAGTTAGTTAATGTCATGTAATCAAACAGACGGTGAACACTATTAACAGCAATAATTATATGTTGCGATCAAACTTATAGCTTTTCCTATGAATTAATTAGAGAAGAGTCCATTTTTATGGGCATTGTGTGTCTTTCCTAAGGGTAAATGAATTGAGAGTTGCTCTGCCCGCATTCCTTTGGGCAATAAAACCAGTGTTATCAATTCAATTCAAGTTTATTTGTATAGTGCTTTTTACGACGTAAATTGTTGCAAAGCAGCTTTACAGAAAATTAAAGTTTATACATTATATTTAGTAATAGCTTATCAGTGGTGACTAGGCATCATCTCTTCTCAGGTGTTCGGTCATCTCAGGCCTTTGTAAGAGCTGGATCCAGACTGAAGTTTGTGTAATTCCTAGTTACCACGGGATGTCAATCCCGAGGCAGAAACAGAGAAGGAAATAGAGACAAATTAGCATAGCTTCTGTTCCAACTAAGCAAAAAATTATGTTTAACCCAAGCAAAAAATGTTAATGTGCATTTGATCCGATGTAACTGAAGTACAAGGTTATGAGATACATCATGTGAATGCTTGGCTAAAGAGATGTGTCTTTAACCTACATTTAAGCAGAGAGAGTGTGTCTGATCCCCGAACGTTATCAGGAAGGGTATTCCAGAGTTTGGGAGCCAAATGTGAAAAAGCTCTGCCTCCTTTAGTGGACTTTGCTATCCTAGGTACTACCAAAAATCCAGAGTTTTGCAACCTTGGGGAGCGTGATGGATTGTAGCGTGGTAGAAGACTAGTTAGGTACACAGGAACTTAACCATCTGGGGCCTTAAAAGTAAGTAGTAATATTTTGTAACTGATGCAGAACTTAATAGGTAGCTACTGCAGAGAATTTAAAATTGGGGTAATATGATCATATTTTCTTGACCTGGTAAGGACTCTAGCCGCTGCATTTTGGACGACCTGTAGCTTGTTTATTGAAGATGCAGGACAATCACCTAGCAGTGCATTACAATAGTTATGTCTAGAGGTCATGAATGCATGAACTAGCTTTTCTGCATCAGAAACAGGTAACATGTTTTGTAGCTTGGCAATGTGTCTAAGATGGAAGAATGCTGTTTTTGTAATATGGGGAATATGATTTTCAAAAGACAAGTTGCCATCTAATATAACACCCAGATTTTTGACTGTAGCGGAAGTAACAGTACATCCGTCTAGATGCAAATTGTAATCCAAGAGATTCTGTGTACTGTTTTTGGTCCAATAAGTAATATCTCTGTCTTATCCGAATTTAATAGGAGAAAATTATTGGTCATCCAATCTTTTACATTATTAGCACACTCTGTTAGCTTAGATAGTTTAGAAGTTTCATCTGGTCTTGTAGAAATATATAGTTGATTATCATCAGTATAACAATGGAAACTAATCCATTGTTATTTCTAATAATATGTTTCCTAATGTTTCTAATATTATTAGTATTTTCTAATAATATTACCAAGGGGCAACATGTATATTGAAAATAGCAGAGGGCCTAAGACATATCCTTGCTGCACTCCATACTTTACTGGTAATAATTGAGATGATTCCCCATTTAAATACACAAAGTGATAACGATCGGACAGGTAGGATCTAAACCATCTTAAAGCCTGCCCTTGAATACCTGTATAGTTTTGTAATCAATCTATGAGGGTGTCATTATCTATAGTGTTTCATGCAGCACTAAGATCAAGTAAAACTAGAAATGAGATGCAGCCTTGGTCTGATGCAAGAAGCAAGTCATTTGTAATTTTACCAAGTACAGTTTCTGTGCTATGGTGGGGCCTGAAACCTGAATGAAATTCTTCATAGATATCATTTTTTTTGCAGGAAGGAGCACAATTCTCTGTAGGCAAACTGAAGAGAATCCAGCAAGGGTCCATTGATCTCCTTCAGTTGAGCCAGTACCAGTTTATCAAACGCCTCCATGACCACAGACGTTAGAGCCACAGTGTGTGAAGTTGGGGGCCAGCTGGTCAGCACAGGATTTCAGACAGGCTGGTGTAAAACAATCTGGGCCTGGTGCTTTTTTCCTCTTCTGCTTCCGGAAGACCTGACACACATCTTCACTAATCTGAAGTGCAGGAGTGGTGGAGAGGGGGGTTTCAGCATGTGTTAATGGTTGTGTAGAGAGTTGTTCAGAGCAGGTGTAGGGTGTTTTTTCAAACTTGCAGTAAAACTCATTCAGATCGTCTGCCAGTTGTTGATTTTCCGCAGTGCTGGTAGATGGATTCTTGTAGTTGGTGATGTCTTTCAGACCTTTCCACACTGATGCAGGGTCACTGGAAGAGAATTGGTTCCTTAGCTTTTCGGAATAATTCCTCTTTGCCACTCTGATCTCCTTTGCCAGTGTGTATTTGGCCTGTTTATACAAGACTCCCCATTACTGTAAGCATTTTCTTTGGCCTGTCGGAGCTCTCTGAGTTTTGCAGTGAACCATAGTTTGTCATTGTTGTATGTTAAATAGGTCCTGGTAGGAATGCACATGTCTTCACAGAAACTGATATAGGATGTTACAGTCTCTGTGAGCTTGTAAATCCCGCTCTGCTTCATAAGTCCATCTTTTTACAGTCCTTAATACAGGCTTAGCTGTTTTCAGTTTCTGCCTGTAGGTCAGTATAAGATGAGCCAAACAGTGATCAGAGAGGCCTAAAGCTGCTCATGCGACAGAGTGATATGTATGCTTTATTGTGGTGTAACAGTGATAGGGTGACCATACGGGCAATTTTTATGGGACGCGTCCTTGCCAGGATTTCTATATTGCCTAAAATATTCAGGTTTTGGCTGTTTGCATTGTGCAGATCGATCATTGTATGACATTCACGAGAGCTATAGAGAGCATAGCAGATGCTCCTTATGCTTTCGAATCGCTCTCGCAGTACTTTGGTGTCATTCAATGATCAGTGCACAGCGATGCTTCAAGTTGAACGAATGAACAAACACATCTAACATGTGCGCTTATTTGCATTGCTTTGATCGTTCTCTGTAGATCTCACCTTCTCACGCGCCACAATTGGTCGATTATGTGCAATACTAGCATGTTATTGGTCAAACTACTTTGGATGTTTTAGGCAATATAAAAATCCTGGCCAGGACGTGTCCCGTATAAATGGCACATATGGCCACCCTAAACAGTGATCTAATATATTACTGTCTCTGGTGGGACATGTATGTCTGTATTTTGGCAGTTCACGGGAGAGATTTGCTTTATTAAAGTCCCTAAGAATGATAATAACAGAGTTATTAGGTGGTGTGTACTGCCGAATGTTCAGCAATTCATCCCTGGTAAAACTTAATTGCAGGAATATAACTAAAAACAGGATAAACTAAACAACTGCGGAGCACGCCACAGAGGCAGCCATAATCAGCACCATCTTGTATTAAATTAGACTCACTATTCTTTAAAATGTATGCACCCATAGCAATGATTCCTTGGGTGTTGAAATGGTCTTCCTTTCCAGGTATTCTCTCATGTCAATCAAATAATTTAATACATTGATCATTGATTAATACCTTTACGATACTCATATCAAATCACTCAAAAAGTCAAGTCAAGTCACCTTTATTTATATAGCGCTTTTAACAATACAGATTGTGTCAAAGCAACCGTACAGCATTAATTAGGAAAATAGTGTGTCAATAATGCAAAAGGACAATAGTAAACACTCATTTTTCAGTTAAAGGCAGTTCATCATTGAATTCAGTGATGTCATCATCCAGCTCAGTTCAGTTTAAATAGTATCTGTGCAATCAAGTCAACGATATCGCTGGAAATGAAGTGTCCCCAACTAAGCAAGCCAGAGGCGACAGTGGCAAGGAACCAAAACTCCATCGGTGACAGAATGGAGAAAAAACCTTGTGAGAAACCAGGCTCAGTCGGGGGGCCAGTTCTCCTCTGGCCAGATGAAACCAGCAGTTCAATTCCAGGCTGCAGCAAAGTCACATTGTGCAGAGGACTCATCTGGTTCCTGTGTTCTTGTCCCGGTGGCCGTCTGAGACAAGGTCCATTAACATTTCTGCATTTGACATTGAGAGCATAGGTTGTAATTTAGATATATTTTTGAGATGGAAAAATGCAGTTTTACAAATGCTGCATTTGTAAATTTAATAAAAATAAAAATAATACAAATTTTACACATTTTAGAAACGTGGCTTTCTAAGGAAAGATTGCTATAAAATAGCACACCTACGTTCCTAACTGATGACGAGGAATTGACAGAGCAGCCATCGAGTCTTAAGACAGTGTTCTAGGTTACTACATGCAGAGTTTTTAGGTCCTATAATTAACTCCTCTGTTTTTTCAGAATTTAGCAGTAAGAAATTACTCATCATCCAGTTTTTTATATCGACTATGCATT